CAGGGTCCCCTGCTGAGAATCTGTGATGGGCCAGGTCCGAGGAGTCCAAGAAGCCGGAGGAGCTCAGGTAGCCATCTGTCTCACAGTCAGCTGCAGAGGAGCGCTCGTATGAGCATGGCCGGAGCCCCCTCCCCAGCTTGCACCCCCTGGAAACAGCTTTGGGACGTCCCCCCCACCTCCCACCCCGAGTCACCCTGTTGTCCCCCCACCCAGTGCCTACGCACAGGTGGCTGAGGAGTAACTGGTGTGCCGGTAGGAGAAGTGCTGGTCAGCCTCTGGCTCCTCGGGCTCTGGGGGGAAGGTGCTGCTGAAGACGGAGTCCCCGGAGCCAGGGGTGGCTGCGGCAGGAGCAGCAGGTGGCAGCGGGGACTTGAGCTCCTCCAGCAGCCGCAGGACACCCGGTGGCTGCTCTGGCTCCACAGGCAACGGCATGTCCTGGGCACGCTTCAGCTTCTCCCGCTTGCGCTTGATGGCGACTACACGGTCCCGCACCGCCTTGGCCACCAGCTTGTAGTCGGCCTCGCAGACAAAGCCCAGGACCACCTGCAGTGCAGGGGGGGGGCCTCGTCACATCAGGGTGCAGTGACCACCCTGGTGCTTAGGGTCCCTCCACCCCTGCACCCACCATCTCCTGGGCCACCTCCTCCGCCACGTCCTTGTAGAGCTCGAAGAGGAACTCGATGGCGTTGTTGTCCTTGTACTTGCCGTGCAGCTTCTTCGTGTCGTCCATGCGCAGCCAGAGCTTCAGCCCAGACTTGATGCCATCGTCCTCCTCGGCCAGCTCCACATGCACCCCCGTGTCCTCCTGGAAGAAGGAGTGCTCCAGCAGGTCCTGGATGGTGTACCTGCGGGGAGCACAGCTCAGCACAGGGCCAGGGGCCGGAGAGGGTGGTTCTGCTGCCCGGGGTTCTGCTCCCACCCACCTTTCATTCTTGTCCATGCGGATGCAGCCCTCGATGATCTCCTTCAGCTCCGGAACCTTCACCTTGTAGAAGCTGCTGGGCTTCAGGCCCTGGGGACAACAGGCATCAGCCCCTCCTGTGCCACACCGTGCCACAGCGCCAGGTTTCCAGGGCCCTGGGGCTGAACCCAGGCTCTGCAGGGCCACAGGGCCCCGGGATGCCCCCCAGGCAGCCAGGGCCCCGCAGCCCCTGGCACCCTCAGGCACAGCACTGCTGGCAGCAGGGGACACGTGGGGACAGGGATCCCAGCCGAGGGCCCTGCTGGCCC